GTTTTGCATTTGGTGTTTGCAGCAATTACATAGAACTTATTTTGAAGTCCGGTGATGATGATGTTGGAATTGAGGATTCTAGCACATATCAGGTAAGACATTTTGAAAACTAGACTGAGATTTGTTTAGATGTGAATGACTCAAATCTGACTTTCATTTTAAATTTTTGTATGTTGTAGGTTCATCCAGTTATTATCTATTGCTGAGTATGTGAAGAGTGAAGAAGTCTTATGTCTTTATGTTTATGTCTTAAATTTTAAGTACTTTGAAGTTTGAATAACGGTGATATTTTGGACTAAGGAAGATAACTTTGATCAGTTTGTGTTTGGCTTTTGGTGTTTCCTTTTATTAACATTTGCAAAGATACATATTATGGCTAGTTAACAACTTTAACCAATATGTAACAGAGTCAAATTAACCCAATTCGTTCAATAGCTTAAAACCCTTAATTGTTGGCAAATTTTAGGTAATCTACATCAAAATAATATCATTCATAAAATACAAACTGAATTTAGATGAATATATAACAAGATTTAGGTGTATATGAATGAGTATCATACACTAATACATATAAATCCAAAGATTTAGCTCGGAACTCATCGGGTTTTTCAAATTCAGGCTTCTTGTGAACGGTCTCAATTCGGGTTCCTGCTAGGATTGGCTTTTTAACCTACCACAACATCCCTATTTAAAAATGAAATATTTCGGTTGTTTCATTTTCCAGCAATTTAAAAAGCTTTTATCCTTTGAACAAATACTTTACACAAACACGTTACAATGTGGTAGATAAACAAACAAACCTGAATCACAATCTTGAGTTCCCTTACCTTTTTCAGTAACCTTTTTTTCTTAGTGTAATTGGCTTAAAACCGGAGACTATAACCGCCCTATACCAGTTCCGGTTCTTCCTCTACTTGTTACTACATCATATATCTCAACATGTAAATCTCTGGAAGCATCATTGTCTGAAGACTCTGAGCTGTCTTCACCGACTCTTGACACAGATTCATCTCTGGTTCTTAAATCTTCGTTAACACGGCTTGACAATTCCCAGCTCCCTCCTCTTCTTCCCCTGCTTGACTCTCTCGAATGCATAATCCCACGTCCCCTGCTTGACTCTCTTGAATGCATTATCCCGCGTCCTTCAGATTCTTCTGGAGGAAGCATTCTGCTCAAATCCCGTGATGCAACCCCTGCTTCCATGTCCTTTTCCATGTCACCGAGCTCTTCTTCTACTGTCTCGTGCCACACTGGTTTTCTTCCCATCTCTATGTCGTGGGAAACTTTCTGTAAGCTAGGGCTTGACATCCCTCCGTTTACTGTCCTTGGTGGTATTGCAGGCTCCTTTGAAACCTTTGCTCTGAAACTGTTCTGAGATATGGCAACGTTTGTGCAGAATACTTCCATAAAGTTCCCCACTATTCCTTTGTTGAAGGGGTTCTCATGTCTATCATACCGATACCTAAAGTTTTCGTAAGTTGACTGCAAAATCACAACATATTAAACAACAGAGAACTAATGTTAACAAGCAGCTAAATTATCCAACTGTTTCAAGGAGCTTTAAGAGAGTAATGATTTTACCTGATTGGTACTCATTAGGTACAAGTGGAAACAGGTAAGCCCACCAACAAACCAGACGCAAATGAAAGTGTAGATTATTAGTGCGATGGAAGCAGGAGTCTTGATAAACGATTTCCAGATGTTTATGTTTTCACTATCCATTATACGCTTGACGTAGATCCAGCAGAACACATGGACATAAATGCAGAGAAGAGTTGAGCACAACACAAACATGAAGTAGAACCTATAGTTTCTCTGCAATCAAAAACATCAAATTACTGTTAGTTCCTCTTGAATCGTCTAGATATATGCAATTATCCTCTTGACAATTATAAATTTATTTAAAGACATCTCATTTAACCCACCGGTTATTGTCTGCAAAGATAGTTCTAATTTCTAAATTTAGAAATCCACCGGTTATGGATGATACACGTTTTGAGAGATGAAAAAAGAGGGTACAAGCAAGATTTTTGATGAGGCAAAATAATATCCATTACCAATCCAATGCACTGACCAAGCCAAGGACAGTGGTGATCAAACTTCTCAACGCAGTTGTTGCAAATCGAACAATGAGAAGCACGGGGTGGTCTGTAAAGCATGCATGTGTCACAGTATTTGATCTTCACAGTAATTCCATTTACAATCATATCCTTTGTCCGAGGCAACCGACTCTGAGGAGTATGAGCAAGACGCGGTTCTCCATTGCCTTCATTACCTTCTGGTTCAGGAGGATATAGATTACGTGGTATTATTCCTGGGTCTCTCGCGGAAGTTAGAAGAAGAAATATTAGATCCTGTGGACAAACAAATACTAAACTTTATTATCAAGAAGCCAAGAGTAAAAGGTTGCAGCAGAGATATGTAAATGCAGGAGTGGAATCGGAATCAGAATGAGGGAAAAAACATTCATGAGAAAGAAGAACTCACTAATAAAATCAGACCAACAGCAACAGCTAATATTGATACTCCTCTATGGTGAGGAAAATCATCAATAAATTTTCTGCCAACAAAAATACAGAATACAATGACAGGAGCTGTAATCAAGAAGATAGTGATCAGAATAGATCGAGCATCGGGTCCAAACACGAGCCTTCCTCCAAGAAAGAACACCTGGAGAAAAAAAGAACAAATCAAAGATCAGTAAAAAATTGACAATGTCACAAATTTAGTTACATACATAACCAAAACAGTTGAATTAACAACTTAAAGACAATAAAAACTCTTGTAACTATGTGATCGCACATCTAAGGCAAACCTTTACTCAAACTTCTGATAAACATAAAAAAACTTTGTAAAAGACCAACATCTTTGACACGTTATCCTAATAACTTTAGAACATCTAGACGAAGACTCACGGAACTAACTATGAGACGAAACCAGGTAAAACAACATGGTCTGGTGCTATATAGAGACACTCTAATGATTTCTTGTAAGTTAGTTGTTTGGCTCTAATTCTTTCAAGAAAAGAACAAATCTTGATGAATCATTACATGAGAGCAAAATGGAAACTAGTTTTAACGATGAGCAAGTCAAATTCCAAATGAGCACAACCAAAAAAAAAAAGCTTCATACATCTAAAAATTAGGGTATACAAGTCAAACTTATTACTCTTATAAACTTCAGGAAAAATGACCAAACCCAGAAAAAAAAAAAGATAATGATTATTCCACAACTACTGAGTAATTCCACCAAAAAATCTGAGGTTTTTCGTTTCAGATCTTACTCAAAGACATTAAATCTGACCCAGAAAAACAAAATCAATCATAAGAGATAAAGAAGAAGAAGAAGAAGAAGCTCACGTTATTTCCTTTCCAGCCTTTATAAGTTCTGATCAGCTCATCACCACCACTACCACCGCCGCTACTACTCGGAGCTCCATGACGCCGATCTGACGGCTGCAAATCTAACATCGGAAGAAACCAGAAAAATCGCGTTTTTTTTTTTTGGCTACACAACAAAGAAAGTCTTCAAAGCAATAAATTTGGTTAAGAAAATAAAAAAAGGAAAAATCAAAAAAGGAATTATTGACTTGGGGGGACAGAGAAGAGGATTATGTTTTTTTTCTCCGGCTACTTGGCCTCTCTTAATAATCCACCTTTCCCTTTTTACGAGTCAACTAATTTCAAGATATCAATTTTTAATAGAGTTTATGGTAATTGATTTATGATTTTTTTTCTTTCTGTCACCAAATAATTTGATGTGTAATAGATTCAGTAATATTCTTGGGACTTTTTGAGGAATCAGTCTTGACATTGCACACGCCTTTAAGTTATTTCCTGTTTATAATTTTCTATATATAAATTAATTAGGTAAATGACAATGAAACTAATTGAAATTAATAAGTATATAGTTTTTTTTGGGTGACATATTGCTGTTGAATTTGATTTAATAAAATTATGCTGATTTTATCATTAATGTGCTATTTTTTTTATCAATTAATGTGCTATTTATTTCTCTTGAATTTGATTTTTTTTAAGTATTTTGACTATGCTATTCTTTTAAATATAAATTTATATATTTAATTAGTAGGAAATTACTGTTAATGAATATATCATTATTAGCGTGCTAAATAATGATATACTCCCTCCGTTTAAATTAATTGTCGTTTAATGTTTTTTTACGTCTTATTCCGAAAAGTTGCTTTGTGAATAGATTGAAACCACTGCTGCTGATTATTATGTCAACATTTAGATGGTCATCACCTGGTAAAGATCTGTCTACCTTCATTTAGTTTAGATTAGATAATTCACATTTGATAAAATTCGAATTTATACCAACTGTAAAATGTGTAATATAAACTATCCAATACGTGTTGAATTGTTCTTCTCGTCAATTTATTTGTCGGCTTTTTCTCGTCAACTTTGGTCTCTCATTAATGATTGGTTACTTGGACCCTCTTCTCTCATTAAAACATAAAACCAGTGTATCCTTTAAAAATATAGGGAATAAAAATGACGTCGTAACTCGTAAATAAGTACTAATGAAATGAAGTAGTGAAAAAAATGAAAACTGAAAACCATCTACTAAAAGTCTAAAATCCTCCTAGTCAAGCAAGCTATCAGATTAAGTCTTGTATATTTGATGTTAAGTTCTGGGAAGTATAAAAACTCCCTAGAAAAGGTATATTTTATCAAAATTATTATTTGATTGGAAAAACAAACAAAAAACTTATCAATCTTATATATACTGTATATGAATGTATATAGTAGCATAAACAAACATTGGATTCATAAATGGTATTTAAATTCACAGTGATGTTTTTTGGGATATATTTCAAAAGATCACTATATCAAGGCTCACTCGAACAGCTGACAAGTCATTCAAGAAGGCAACTCTTGTAAACTTAATCCATGTCACGCCAATAATCAAATTCATGAATCCAAATATAAAATAAAATCGATAGATAATAATCACTGCTATTATACAGAAAAGAAGTTGCATAATATGGTCACTTTGCAAACAAAAACCATATTTCATATAGGGGAATATTATATTCTGGGTAAAAGAAGATACAAGAAACTGATCTCAAAAACTTAGAAGTAAAAAAAAACACACTCGAAATCTTCTTCTTTTTTTTTTCGTACTAGGTAGGAAATGAACTCATAAAAAAAGAATAAACAAAACCCATTAATATTGTTGTTCTTCATTTTCTTAAGATTGAAAGATAATTATATATAAAATGAAGGAGATTACTGGTTTTATGCCTTTCTAAGGCATGACGCCAAGATCCTTGAAGTATTCATGCTCCAGGGCGGCTCTTGCGTTGATTCTTTTGGTCGGATCCATTAACAGCATTTTCTGTAACAAATCAAACAGAGACATATATTATCATCTTTCGTTGCAAAGGAGCATCAAAATCTTAGATATCCACAAGTTTGGTTTAGTCTAGGACTTTCAAGAATCCCGGTTATTGAAGGTTGTTCATGTTTCAGACCGGTTTGGTTTTGGCTTGATGTGATTTTGATGACCACTTATGGGTTTAGAAACTATGAAGGCTCACTGGACGATGGTTTTAACCACACCAAGGTTGGTTTCTAGTCCTAAAGACCAAATGAAAATATTGATGACCTCAAATGTTTAAAGGTTCAGTAGAGGTAACATGAGACCAGATCCATTAAAATCAAGCATCCAGGTACATATATGTATATAAGCTCAGTGAACTTACAGAAAGGAGATCTACTCCATCGGGATCTAGATTGGGGACAAAACTTTCTAGGTCCTGTGATATAAGAAAAAAAAAACAAGGGCAAAAATTATATTATGTTGTGAACTCTTGACTACTGAAGACAAGATGTACAAGCAAATGAAGAAATTTGAAATACCGTTGGTTTCCATTTAGGGAAAGCAGATTTATAATCCGGCAGCGAAGTTACCCCACGCCATGTATCCTCGTATGGAGTTCCCATGATTCTAGTAGTAGACAAAAAAAGATGGCAGTAACAGATTTATAATCAGTAAACAATTTAATCTCTGTGTTCTTTACTACTTCTCCAAAATGTGATATCAAGATGAAAGTGTTTTCAGAATCCCGTGATATCATTGCAGAGAAGTCTTTCCAATTGTAATATATAGAAGAATATTGGACTGGGGAAGCTAGTAATGAAACCTGAAAATCTTGAAGAGTTGATCAATCTCGGAGTCTCCAGGAAATAAGGGCTTTTGGCTGATCATCTCAGCAAATATGCATCCCACAGACCAAATATCAACAGGTGTAGAGTAATGATGAGATCCTAGGAGTATCTCTGGTGCTCGGTACCAGAGAGTAACCACCTAAAAGGAACAATATGCAAAAATTGTGTGAATGTCCACGAAGAGATCTGAAATCTGAATGTAGCATTGAAATATTTTATAGTATCTTGAATCTAGCATAGTTCAACCGTGTGAATGTCTTAGTGCTTTCATCACATTTATCAGATACATAAGTGGTATAATACTCGAGTATACACTATACTCTTAAGGAATGAAGCCAGCCAAAAGATTTCATAACGGAAACTTATGAACAAGGAATTAAGCTCTTTGGTACCTCATGAGTAAATGTCCTGACAGGGATACCGAATGCTCTGGCCAGTCCAAAATCTGCAAGCTTTAGTGAGTTTGTGCGGCGATCAATCAACAAATTCTGTGGCTTTAGATCACGATGGAGAACCCTGTGAGAGTGGCAATACGCAATTCCACGGAGAATCTGGTAAAGATATGTCTGCAAATAGTGGATGAACAGCTCTGATCAGCTTGTATTGAGTACTAAAAACGCATTGGAAGGACATTACATAACTTAGATTTCACCAATATTCAGCGAAACCAAACAGATAGAGGTACTAAAGTGACCAGAGGGAAGATGATGGCATCATGACCAACCAAATGGCTCAATAAGACAGTACGTTTAGGGGTTGCTGGTTTGTTAAAGTACTTTCACATAACACTAGCACATATATAAAACTATGCCTAAAGTTTCTTAGCACTCACTTTGATCATATGTAGATCCTTGGAGAAATCAGGGGTTGAATCCATGTGCTTTTTGAGATCCAAGTCAAGATACTCAAAAACCAGATACAAACGTTTCTCACTGTGCACCACATCCTGCAATCTGCGTAGCAACAAATATCAGTCAAAATTGTTCACCAGAGTCATCATGCTGAATCAGTTATCGACAATGGCATTAACTTCATACTTGACAATGTTGCTGTGCTGCATTTCTTTCAAGAGGGAGATTTCTCTAATGGCTGTACTAGGTACACCTTCATCCTCCTGCTCTAGCCTTATCTTCTTCAAAGCTATTGTCTCATTAGTGACTTTGTCTCGTGCCTTATAAACCACACCGTAAGTTCCTTCACCAATCTTCTCAACTTTCTCGTACTGTATCAATAAGAGCACATTAACAAAGACTCTCGTCAAAAGATTAAGCAGTGACTAAGAACTGAAACAACTATTTACACCAACCTGATCCATCAATAAAGCAACTCCACACTTATAAAATGTCACCTGTAGATTGATAATAACACATCAAAAGGCTATATTAATTCAGCTATATCAGCACAAAACAATCTCAAAATTGAAGTCAAATCTGTACACAAAGACGCAAAGAAACAAATCAATCTCAGATCCGAGCTACTGTGATTCGATTCTTTGGACAGATTATGAAAATGAACAACCAAACAAACCAGCTTAACTCGTTAGAGCAAACAAATCCGAAAAATAAAACAAAATCCAGAGCAGCGAACTCATATTTTATTGAATCCAGAGAAACATGGAGCTAAAGAGAGCAATCATAAACACAGACGACAAAATGCACACAAGCAAAACCAGTCTAAATCTAGTGAAACACTAAGAAACGCCACTGGAAAATGCAAAACGGAGGAAAACAAGTAGAGATCAGCAACGAAGCAGTAAGATAATTGAAGAGAAAGCGTTTGAGGAATTGACAACAAGTTCAAGTCAGAATTTCGAACGGAAAACAAGTTCATCTGGCCCGGTTAAGAAATTGATCGGAAGGTAACGAAATCAACTTACCGGCGACGATCGGATGTAGTGTCAGTGAGATTAGTACACACCGACGGATCCTCTCTCTCTCTCTCTTCTCAGTGGTAAAAGGCAGTAGAGAGAGAAGGGTGGTTTCTGTGAAAAGCTTGAAGAGAGGAGGACTAGGGAAGGGGATTGACTAATAGAGCGAGTCAGGGTTTTTTCTTTTTTTTTGTGTATGAGGAAAATTTTGTTCGTTATTTTTTTTCTTAATTTCTAATAAATTAAATTTACCTAACCGCATTAATTTGGTGACAATTGTATTTTAATACCGGGTTTGATTGGTAACCCCAACGATAAAAATATACCGCTAAAATGACCAAATTAGTATATCCGGTTTGCTATAACCATATGGAATCTAAGTTGGAAAAAGACGGTTTAGATCCTTAAAATGAAAATGGAGAAACATATAGTATTTGATAAGTCTTTGGAGCACCAACCGAAACATAAATGGGCAATAATATAAAGTTCGTTAATTAAAAAAATATGTCAGCAAGCAACTCAACATTAAATGTAAATAATAAAGTCTGGCACCAATGACCAACACAAAGATAAATGAACAATAATATGAAAATCATATTTTAAATTTGTATTAAGAGACTAGTCTTATTCATGTGGATCTTCTTCAATGCTGATTTTTTTTTCTTAAATGATCAATACTAATTTTAGTATCTAAATTTAGTGGTTAGCAGTTATATTTATGTGATACTATATAGTATAACGTTCAATAAAACCGATTTTACAAAAATACGTCTCAAAACCCTCGTTTAGCGAGGATGTGCCTTTAGTAAGTGGTTAAGTCCACTAGATTTCGCCTTCCCCACCGGATTTCGACTCTACTGAGTCACGTTACCCCGCGTAGTAGGGATTAGCTATGGATCGGGTCTTGTCGATCCAAAAATGTCAAAAAAAAAACTCTCATTCATCTCGCATTTATGTGGTGCTCAATTGCTCACATAAAAATCCCTACTACTTCTTTTTATATACAACCAAATTCATACTTGCAAGAATATCGTGAGTAAAACGAGAAAAATTAAACCATTCATTAAACATATTACAAAGCACCACAAACTTTTCACTCGTTCAACTAAAGCTTTGACAAATACTAGTATACCACCATATTTGATAAGAGAAAACAGCCAATATCAACCCCAACTATTTTCATGCGGCTTTTTCAATCCAAATTTTGACTCTCTGCACTTATCAACCCGAACTCACATGAATTTCAAGTAACAAACATGAACTATGTAACTGATAGCCAATTTCAACATATACATGTTACTATATAATATAACAAACATGAATTATGTAACATTTAGCCAATTGAATAAAAAAAATGATTCAAAAACAAAAGAACATATAATTACGACATCACAATTCTAATTGATATTAACAAATACAGAAAAAAAATTATGTTGAAATTGACTAATGGTTACATAGTTCTGGTTTGTTATTCGAAATTTTATGTGGGTTTGGGTTGATAGGTACATAGGATCAGAATTTGGATTAAAAAAAAAACTGTATGGAGATAATTGATGTTGATTTTGGCCGTTTTCTCTACTTGATACTCCCGTCTTTCGCGACTAGTATTATATAAAACACCAAATTACCTAAAACTTTCGCAAATACCACAAGAGTTAAAGACAAACCCCAAACTTTCACAAATACTGGAAAAAAAAAATTCCCAAGAGTTCATGAATATTAATTATATATAAACCGATCTCGTGATCAATTTATTCAAGTTATCTCTGAACATGTAACTGCCACATATTAAATTATTTAAGTAATTGAAAATATATAATTCGTGAAAAATTCATCTCGTTTTCAGATATTTCTTGTATTTATATATGGGAGATACATAGAATTCTTCTTTTTGATACAGAGGAAGAAAATGAGGGAAACAAAAATTTAGCCCAGTTCGAGTCGACCCCAAGTTTTCTAATGAGTCAGACATTAGTGTTATCAATCGTTAAGTATTGGGTCCTAACAAAAAAAGGAAATTGAAGGCCCAAAACAACAATAATTGCTTAAAAAAGAGGTCCTACCGGGAGTCGAACCCAGGTCGCTGGATTCAAAGTCCAGAGTGCTAACCACTACACCATAGAACCGAGTGTTTGTTATTTGAACATTTTATTGATATAACACTTTGGTTAAAAACGATTAAAAATGTGTTAAAAATCACAATTACAATCATCTAGAAAAAAAATACTACTCCATATTTTCTCCCGTAGACTAATAAATGAGATAGTTCTGTGGGAGGCATCACATTATTCAGGTCCTTGTCAAACGAAAAATTAAGAGTAGTTAAATGATGGATGAGACACCACATAACGCTTTTACGAATGGTTTTAATTTTAAAGACTTATCGGTTTTATATTTCAAAGAAATTACTTGAGTATTCAAAATTTTAGAAAAATAGTTTTCTTTTTGAAATTTAGAAAACTAGTTTTTGAATAACATTTTTTTTTTTTTTTGATAAATTCTATCGGTTGATCCGGTCAGCCTCGGTAGAAACGCACTGAGGTGCTCCAGAGTGAACTTCTCCCGCGGTTCAACGATTCAACGGATACCATGAGCTCCGAGCGGACTCGGGTCGAACGGACCATGAGATCCAGAATTGGGCCACCACACTGCCTGATCCGAGTTTGGAGTGCTTTCCGACTAATGCCAGAGGGTAGTCAGGCCGCCTGCATTTCTGGCTACTAGGTAAACCAATTGGGGCAAGGCCCAACTGACAGACTTCCAAACAAATGTTTTTGTTTCCAGGGAAAATCGAACTCAGGTATGGGAGTTTCACCATTTTCCAAAGTTTCCTCTGTCAGTAGACCACAGATGTTTGGGCGTTATTGAATAACATTTACCATTTCTTCCCATAAACTCTTTTTTTTTAATGATACAAGAGAGAGGAATTACAATATATATTCATTTTTCTTGGTAATAAAAACAACATATATATATATATATATATACACTTTTATTGTCATTTTTTTGTATTACGTTTAGATATATGAGTTTTTTGGTTTAATCTTATATGTTCAAAATAGCAAATACTCGAACACATGTATATATGAAATGTGGACATAAATTTAACAGCTTAAACATCATAACTAAATCAAAAGAAGATATTGCAAACAAAATAAAATTAATAATTGAGAGAACAAAAAAGAGGAAGAAAGAGAGTGAAGAGAGGCAAAAACCCTAATCGACACAAACGCTCTCAAACAGCCGCCGCCCAACAAAACCAGTTCTTCGCTCGCCCTCTCCGGTGGCCGGCGCTCTTCGCCGCTGCTGTGAGAGGGGCCTTTAGTTTGCTTTCGATGTTGTTAGTTGTTTCTGCAATTCGTTTAGCTCATGGTTATCTATGGAGAAGGGCTTCACTTGACGAAAACTGTGGATCTTCTCGGCGAGGCTGTTTGGCTTTGTCGGTGGCCAGCTTCTCCTCTGAGAGTTGTTGTTGGGTGTCCGAGATCTGTGGATCTGGCGGGTGCTCTGTTCATAGAAGAATGGGCGAAATTTTGGGATCCTGGTGGATCTTGAGTTTTGGTGGTTTACGAATCAATGGCCGTGGTCTTGTCAGTTCTCTCGTCGGGTAAGCTTGCCTTCTGTTTCTATGGGTTAGATGGAATCAATTTAGGTTGCTACTTTTAGGTTCGTTATGGTTTGTGAGGCTCTTTTCGATGGTGATGGCTATGTTCGTGGGTTTGAAATTGGATCTTTGTTCTACCTCTCCTTCGAGTCCTCTTGCTGGTTAGTGGTTGCGGTTTTCTCTTGGTTCGTTCTCGGTGTGAGCCATCTTGATGGGATTTTGTTGCTGAGTCACCTACTAGCCTATCTTTGAGTTTCTTTTGGAAGTTTTGGAGTTAGGTTCTAGTCGAAGCAGTGGAATCGTTCTCTAGTTCTTCTCTTGCGAGGACGTCGTCATTTTTAAGTCTGTAGGTGGCTGAATTTGGTTCGACGAGTGTCCGCGTGTAAGAATTGTTGATCTCTCGTGGTTTGTCTCCGGTCGATTTCAAGGTTTTTGCCTTGAACCTAGGGTTTCTTGCTTTCTCCGATTGGCTGGTGAGGAGTGTTGGTAGTTGTATTTGTGTCTTTGGTCGCGTTGGGTTCTTGCTTTCCTCCCTGTCGGTATGCTACTGGTTTGTCTTCGGTGTGAGGTCAATCCGGTCTTATTGGTGCTACCGGCGTTTACAGGTTCTTTAGGGAAGCATTGTGAGAGTCTCTCGTGCCTTTGTTCAATTATAGTGCTTAGATTGCTTTCTCTCTTTGTCGTAGTTTTATTCTTTAGAATTTTGCCTTTACTTTTGGCTTGAATCAGTTTCCCTGTACTTTAGGGCTTTGTTTCCCTTGTTTGGGCTAATGTTTCTGGGGACATTCGTATAGTCCGCCGGCATATGTATTTCATCTTGTATCCTTCCTTGGTTTATCAATAAAATTCAGATGACAAAAAAAAAAAAAAAAAACATCATAACTAAATCTCATGCGTTTGTCAACATTGAAAATCCTTTACTATTATTTTGGGGAGTATAATTTATGGATTACCCTTAATTAACCTTCCCCTGTGTAAGAATTTACTTAAGAATGTCATTAGAAATAAAATTTTATAGAGTAAATTAATTCAACTCATTAAGGATAAACAAGTCAAATACTATTTTATGCAATTTAATTAATTTAATTTAATTAGACTCATTGCACCCAAAGCTCCTGAGACAAGCTTTTCTCTCGGGCCCAAACATCGAGACACCCTCTTTGAGCAAGCTTTCCGACGCCGGCGAAGCCCTTGCTTGCCGGCGTCGGGACATCACTTTCCTCGCTTATCTTTGCTTCACAATGTTTTTCTTTTTTCCCCTCTTTTTGAATAATTTTCACAGATCTGTAACCTTTTTTCAAATCTCTCGAACCATCTCGAATCCATCATATCTCGGCGGCTACGCATCAATCAGCGACTCTGGACAGAGGTGGTGTCCGGCAAACTTCCTCCCCCACCCTCTACTCGTAGCTTCTTGGCCAGAACGGACAGCACATGCTCTATCAAATTCCCCAGAAGATTCCTTACACCGGGCTTCGTTGATGGCAGGAGATATCTCTCTTGGACCGTCAGTTGCGCCATGCCCGGTGAAGACGTCGACGGCGCACGACGATCCTCTTGCCTGGGAGACGGTCTTCCTCACCGGAAAGGCCAATCCTCTATTGTTCTCAGCCTCCGCCTTGGACCATGCCCATAGGTTACAAACGCCGTATTTGCCTCCACCAGAGAGCCTTGCTTCATCGCATTTCTCACCATCATCTCCGTACAGCCGCCGTCTTCTCAATCTGAATTGGCTAACGGAAGAGAAACTAGGGTTTTCTTTGGTGGGCTCTGCTTCCAAAAGTGGCCCATTAACCTCTCCTAAGCCCAAATCCGTTTGCTATGGCCCACCTCCAAGTTTTAACAAGCCCAGGTCTGTTTCAGAATTTTATTTGTCAATCTCTAGTCAATTGTTGTGTCGATTTAGTAATCTCAATGGCCAAGGACTCCATTTGAGATGTAAATCACCTTCGATGCTATGGATTTACGAGTTTTTCCTAAGAACCCTGCTGTTAGATTCACCTATCGCTATGATCTATGACTCCTTTTGCTTGAAGTATTATGGTCGTTTGTTCCCGATTCCAATACGTCACGGTGTGATTATTGTCACCAAAGCTTTATGTCCAAATACTACTTTCCGACAAATCTATCTACCATCTTCAAGCACCATCTAGCCATCAACACCCTCAAGGTCCGAATCCTATGCTACCAACCAGCGAGATTCACAACTTTGGACTCTTCATCAACGTCACCTTGTCTTTTGACCGTGACCATCTTATCATCCATCGACTCGTTCGTGGAAGACCTCTCAACTATTCATGATCTCACATGCGTCAAAATGTTGTCTAGCTTTTGGCTTATAGCTCTCATGGAACCTTTGTTGATCTATCTTATCTATCTTCTTGTGGCATTGGGGAATGCCTCTCTTTATGTTGTTCTAAACTCTGGGTTCTTTGAATCCTTCTTGTACTTAGTTTTGATTTGAATGAATGAAAACTAGTATTTGCTCAAAAAAAAATTAATTTAATTTAATTATAAAAACAAAAATTCTATTATTAATTAAATGACCAATCAAAATGAACATATAAGATTTGATATCTAACTTACCATATTAATTTGTTATTAATCATTATACTTCACCTCTCATTTTTATATGATTCTATTTCTATAAATAAATAAATCATTATATCATCTATATAATAAAATAAAAAAGTAAAAAAGTTTCCGCATATACCAAGATTTGAATTTTTAAAAACGAATATAAATTATTCAATGTATGAAAAAACAAATTTAACGAGTCAAAAATTCATATTTGAGTAATATTTTTTTTTTTAATATCATCAATACTTAATAGATCAAAAATTTATGAAGTATAAATACTCTAATTTGCTTTTTTGAAACAAATATTTATAATAAGCGGCGGGTTGAATATAATATATTATATGATGAAATGAGTTATGATCCTTATAACTATTTGAATATTTATATTTAATTTCATATCATTTTTTTAATTCATAATTTTACATAATACAATAAAAAATTTAAAGATTTTAATTTGAAACATTTTAAAATAGTTTAATTTAATATATTAAAGAATATCATAAATATTTAATAGATTAAAAAGATAAAAAAATTATAAATACATTAATTTGATTTTCTAAGAAGATATGTTTAAAATATTTATAGTAGGGGGCGGGTTAAATGTAATGTATGATATGGTAGAATGTTATGATCCTTATAACAGACGGCATTTTAAGATTTTATGATGAGATGAGTTAAATAAGGTTTGATACTTTTAAATATTTGAAAATTTGATTCTGCAAGCAATTTTGAAAATAATAAATAATAGATTGTGCCTCAATATTTTCATACGGATTGTAGAATGAAAATATAGACTCAACACACGGATTGAATTTGGTATTATTATATACCAAATATATGTTCATAACATATTTGATTATGTGAATAAGTGGTAAATTTTATAATTAGCTCAAACAAATCTCTATTTCAACAACCAATGAATCAGAATTTGAAAAAAATAATTTCCTAAATTAATTCAAAATAATAGCTAATTTTTTAAGTAATTCAAAATAATCTACGTTTTAGATGCGATTCATTTATGATATTTTGATTTTTGATCTAACTAAATTATATGCACTCTCATTTTGTGGCTGTTAATATAAATTAACTCATTGTTCAAACAATATTAATTTTTTAAAAAAATAATCTTATTTTCCATTTTCATATCTTACAAAAAAATATCCATAATTGAATATTATAGAAAAAAGAAAATATATTCATTCTAATATTATATATAGAGACTAGCAAAAAAATATTATTTTTCCACTTACTATTATAATATATCACAACTTTATTCTAAAACATAAAATTTATAAATTTTGTAATAAATGAAATTCAACCCGTACTATAGTACGGATGATGATCTAGTTATATAGATATTTTGACATTTCACCAAAATCTATATTTTTCTCATTACATTATTATAATATATATCGAAAACAACTCTAGACAAAAAGAAATGGGAAATTAAACAACAGAAAGAAAAAAAAAAAGGGAAATGAAAGGAAGAAGAAGATTTCGATATTTCCTCTCTAGTTGCCAAGTAAGCACCCCCCTAGGCATTAGGATATGTGTCGTTATTATTTATTAACACTAAAAAGAGACCCTCCTTGAAAAAAAAGAGGATTCAATCTCAAATATCCCTAAATATATACAATAATGCAAAGTCGTTTTTAGTATGCAAAATGAGCAAAAATCAACAACACCAGTAAAATCATAAACTGTTTGGTTTCTTAAGATATTTCATATGAGATATATTAGTGAGTTACCTTAATCCGTGTAAATTTGTATAAAATCCTATAGTCCTGTTAGTCTATTATATTACTATACTGTTGACTACATAAGCTAACCTATGTAAGGTTTATCTAAGATTTTAGGGATTATTCAATATCATACTTTTTAATTTAAGATCGAAAATATTAACCATGAGAAAGAGAAAAGTCAAAACGCAACAAAGTGACAAACTCTTGTTTGGTTTCAAACCGAAGCAAACTTATATGGTTTAATCTCAAGTAGTTAATGTGAATTAGTTTACGAGTAGATAAAACTTTGTTTCTATACGATCTGCACACTTAGAAAAATATTATCGTAATGCATTTAAGAGATTACACTCTTAACTAAAATACTAATTAGAAGAATGGGATTTACGTGTGAATATGTATGATTTTATAATATTTTAGGAGATAAACTTAATAGCATAATAACAAGGGAATTAGAAAAGAGGGACAAAAACTGGTGCACCAAAGCTGCCGGCCAACTGTACACAAGACAAGAAATCTTTTAAACGTTTGCCCTTAATGGATGACGAGTGTGTTTTATTTATTTTAGAATTTTCGTTTTTTCTAAAATTTCCTAGCACTAAACTTTAATGATTAAAGGCAATATGATATCTGGATAATGCATCGATGTAAATTTTGTGTATGGTTTTCCATTACTAAATTAGTAAATTGTGAAGATTAAAAAATAAAAAACAAAAAAATGTTAATTGTCTTCTTTCTTAATTAATCATCTAACTATATTAATTAATTCTTACAAATAAATGTCAGACAATTATATATTATTAGATTATATACCCGCGCGTTGCGCGGAGTTTTAATTCAAATTTTTTATCAATACAAATATTTGAATTATTTGAATTTTAATAGATTTTACTTTAATCATGTTCATTATCTTTCCATAGTAGTAAATACTTTTTTCATATTTTTTACTAAAATTTTTCTTGTTATCCTCCTCCTCTATGATTCACTCGTTGTCTTCCGACATCTAGTCTCTTCATTTTATATTGGCTCACATATAATATACTCGACTATGAATTAGTTCTCAATATAGATCGTATATATTTTCTCATTCATATCTTTCAATATTCAAATTTTTTTTATAAGTTGCATGATCTTTTTATTAAAGTGAACATTAAAAAATGGGTTGGCTGTATAAATCACCCTATACTTATAGCACTAAAGTGGAATCCCCCCAAACTATTAATCTCTTCACTATACACCCCAGTCTATTAATTTCTTAATAATTCCACATATCTAATTAAATCCTAAATGACGTTTACTAAACCATTAATCGCGTTTCACTGTACCACGTTTAGATTAATCTACTTGTAAAACGTTGACCACACTTTAATTAGACCTTCTTAGTGAGAAAGATGGTTTCAAATTGTAAGATCCTCTCAGAGAGAAAGAGGGTTTCAAATTAAACGCTAAACATTTCAAATTAAACGCTAAACATTTCAAATTGAACCCTAAAGTGATATTTTTATTGATAAAGAGGTTTTCCAAATAACAACAATTAAATAAAATTAACTTATTCATGAAAAGAAAACATTCGTTATGAAACGTTTTACATGTCACGAGTATAGAGAACATGCAAAAAAATAAAAAAAATAATGCATAAGTTGACTCCTAAACCACAGCATCATTGCTTGTTTGTGTTCCTTTCGTCATTTGTGTTGGCTGTGTGAGTGAGATTGTTTCAGGAACTTGACTAGACGAAGCACCAACCTGCAATATGGATTAATGTCAAAAATGGGACCAATACAAAATGTTAAAACAATATCAATACCGAACAATAATTACCTCATGAAATCCATGTGCTTTCTTATCCTTCTTAGCTTTCTTTGCCTTCTTTTCCGTCTTGTCCATCTTAGCCTTCTTTTCCGTCTTGTCCAATTTAGCCTTCTTGTTTGGAAACTGAGACGAATACCAATCATTCCATTAGCAAACCAACAAATAAGATGTTAAATCACTCATAAATTACCTCATCATATGGAATTTTCTTTGCCTTCCTTTTCCTCTTCACCTTCTCCTTTGGAAACTTCTTACAACCAGCTGCATTGTGTCCAGCTTCACCGCAGCTTTTACAGTGGATGATGCGCCCTTCTCTCCCAAGTTTTTCCACTTCTTTCTTCTTTTTCTTCTTCTTTGGCGACTCATTTTTTCCTTTTATCCTTTGAAAACTCTTTTTCTTTGTCTTTTTCTTTCTTCCAGGAAGTTCAGGTTCTGGAGGTGCAACTACTAACCTGTAACTTGAATTCATCCAGTATTTTGGACCTCTTAATGGATTGGTGGCTCTCTCATAAGTATCTCTCCAGAGATCAGTCGAGAAGAACAAAGAGACATAATTTTCGGGATCTAAACCAGCATCAATCATCGCACCATATGCATGCTCACAAGGAATCCCAGTTATTTGCCACTTGCCGCATGAACATGTTTTATTCTGCATATCCACTTTATGAGAATTTCCATCTATAAACACCTCAAATATCCCATGGGTGCAACGCCATGTTTTACACCGTTCAGCAACTGGCTTCTCTAATGCCAAAATATCAACTACATACTCTGAAAATCTCCCTTGATGCTTATTTGCTTTCTTATTCCTCTTAGTTATGCGTTCCATGCCTTGCCTTCTTATGGTTTCCAACATTGGAACCAATGACTTTGCTCTAGCTTTGGTGATGGTAGAGTTAAATGACTCAGTAGCATTGTTATCAACATCCTCACAACAACTACCAAGTCTGTAAAAAGCCCTTGACCAAGTTTGTGGTTGCTCTTTCATCACATCATTGTACAATGCCAAATCATACCTTCTCAAATTGTCAAGATTGATCTTGAACTCCTTTGAATTATAGCTCCAAGCTAGCTTCCACACTAATGTCTTTAGCTCGTCTTTTTTGGCATGGTTCTTCTTCAAGTTCTCTACGATATGCTTAACACACATTCTGTGTTCAGCATTTGGCAATTCAGTTTTCACTGCACTAAGGAGACCCTACAAAATATGAAGGGAAACTGTTATTTAATTGAGTAGAAAGTAAAAAAAAATACTGAACAAAAAGAATAACAGAACATAAGAGCATAAATAACCTTTGATCGATCTGATATTATGACAAATCGACTACCATCATCTAAACCTAAGTCTTTCTTAATTTGTGTGACAAACCACAACCAATTATCCGAATTTTCTGACTGTACCACAGCCCATGCAACTGGATAGATTTGGTTATTTGCATCATGTCCCACGGCAGTTAAGAGGACTCCTTTAACAGCAACCTTTAAGAATGTGCCATCAAGCCCAATTATAGTCCTACAACTACCTGCCCATAACTTTTTGAGTATGTCAAAACAGACATAAAATCTGTTGAACACATCTTTACCTGCTGCATTTGGATATGTTTCAATGAATGCTGTTGATCCCTTATTTTCATTGAGTATCTCTTGGACATACCCTCGAAGATGAGCAAATTGTTCGGCATACTCTTGGTCAATCCATTTCAGAGCAAGAAGTCTTCCTCTTTGGCATTGATGTATTGAAGACACAATTTTCCATTTATCTTTGATATTCTCTTGAATATCAGCAGGCATGAACTTGTCATTTATTCTCAGCTTGTCCAAGAATAGTCTTCCAATTACAGGGCTTTTCAATATTTTACACTTCCCATTAGGAGTACAACTATGCCATGCATAAACTGTCTTCACCAAATACAGTTGCCTCGGCTCATCATAAGAGCAATAAACCCTCCACAAGCATTTTCCATTCATCCCACATTTAAACGAAATTTTGTCCTTCTCCCACCTTTCTTGAACCACATTCTGTCCTGTTTTCAATGCGTAGTCCAAAATAGCTTCTTTGAACTCAACACCGGTTAAGAAAGCATCTCCAATTGCGAATCTATCACTTCCTCTTCCCCTTTTGATTCTTCTATCTCTCACCACAATCGGATCCTCATCTTCATCTGAGCTTTCTGGGATTGTATTTCGGGCAATTCTAATCTCATCAACAAATTTGGCTACTGATTCCTGCACTTCATACTCATCACGCTCCAATACATCTTCACTCTCCTCTTCCTTCTTTTTACCTTTTCTAGTCTTCTTTTCCCCATTATCTTCATGTTCTTCTTCATCTGCAATCACATTATCACTCTCTTCATTACTAGATTCATCACTCCCTTTGTCACCCTCCTCATCACGTCCTTTGTCACCCTCCTCATCACGTCTTTTGTCACTCTCTTCATCACTAGACTCATCACTCTCATTATAAAGCATATCCTCTGGATCAATTTCTACTTCGTCACTACGAAACCGAATTTGCAAATTACTAACTCACAACAACACTTACGACTCTAATAGCAAAAACATATATATATATAACAACACTTACGTCATTTCTTTCGGAGTTGCCGCAATCCCTACGTTTTCCTTTAATTCCTTTAATAAGTTGCTGCAATCCCTATTGAACAGAGAAGATACACTAGAAATCAAGGTGATGATGAAAATTATGTTAGATGAAAACACTAGAAACTGAATGACGTTTTCAGAGCATGATCATGAAGAGCTAAGAAAACTAGTTAAGTAGATGAATTTTAACTAGTATATGTAAACATTAAAACCCAGAATCCAAAAACAAAAAAAACGTTGACGTAACTATCTCAAGCATATTCATAGATAGTCAAACAATTGCAATGAAACATTAAAGAAAATCAATGCAGAGAAACCAATCAGACCTGGAGAAAAATCACGGCGATGACTCTAATCTCTAAAACTTCCGAAGATGGCTGATTGGCTTTAACAACAACGAACCAAAACGAGAAGAAGTGAATCAAAACGATTTGACAAAAGAAATATTTAGGGTTTAATTTGAAACCCTCTTTCTCACTAAGAAGGTCTAATTAAAGTGTGGTCAACGTTTTACAAGTAGATTAATCTAAACGTGGTACAGTGAAACGCGATTAATGGTTTAGTAAACGTCATTTAGGATTTAATTAGATATGTGGAATTGTTAAGAAATTAATAGACTGGGGTGTATAGTGAAGAGATTAATAGTTTGGGGGGATTCCACTTTAGTGCTATAAGTATGGGGTGATTTATACAGCCAACCCTTAAAAAATTTCAGAGAGATATTTGTCATAAAATTTCTTTCTTTTTTTTTCATCATGTCATAAAATTTCTTTCACCATGTTTGGTGCATGTAAAGTTGCTTTATAGCCAACAAATCTCATATATGGACTCATTCCTATTCACAAACATCAAATTTTACATCAAATTTCACACTTTATCTTGACTGTTTGAAAAATACAAAAAACAAATTCACATATATAATTTGACGTATTATAATTCTATATAGTATTCTTAATGTTGATTTTCGTAAAATTCGTAACTTACGAACTCATATAAATCATTCTAATTTTAAAATATATTTTTTTAATCCTTAATTTTTACTTTTAATTGAAAACTCTTCAATATACCATTACTATTCTAATTTCCAAATAGCATTCGTAAATATTATTATTACATAATTTCTTATTCGATTAGATTATTTTATTTTTATTTGTGATGTTTAGGATAGTTTTTGTTTTATTTCAAATCACCTTAAATGTTTTCGATCTATGTTAAAATTTCATAAACACTGATTAATATTTTGTTTTTCTTTTTTAGGTATTCATTTGATTTCTTAAAAAAACCCACCACTTTTTAATTTAGAAAACATTGATAATATAGAAAATTTTATTAATGTAACCATTTATATTATATTATAATTATAAATAATAATATGTACTCAATCCTTCTTATTTTTAATTAGTATCATGAATTGATACTTTAACATTAACAAATATTTCTTAATTTTAAATGTGTATTTTTCAGAAATAAATTACTTTTTATTTTCATTAAAAACCTTTAAATTTAATATATTTTTAAGTCTTATTTTTCTTCATTCTAATAAATAATTGTAACTCTTAAAAATGATTATATGTTAAGTTTCTTTTTTCATATCTCCAGTCATTTAGGAATATTTAATTATATGTTAAGTTTCTTTTTTCATATCTCTAGTCATTTAGAAATATTTACTCATTATATGTTAAGATATAATTATCTAATTTTATATTTATCCAATCTCCCATTATATATATAGATTATTCAATGTTTATAAATATGCGCGCGCACCATAAAAAAATAGATTTCAAAATTAGGAAAGAGGAGTAAATAAGTATGCAACTACCCAAGTTGCCAAGTGTTGCATCAAATTTGGGGAAGACCGAAAAAATCAGATATGTTCTTCTTAATATACATAAGAAGAAAAAAAAAACTAAAAACAAAAGAAAAAGGAGAAAAAAGAATTGAATGGAAAGAAAAAAACAAAGCTGTGATAATATCTATCTTGTTCTCTTTCAAGAAGAGTGGAATGTTTACTCATAGAAAGGCTAATAAAGCCTTCAATAATTTGTCTATCATGCGAACAACTAATAAGATAATTTAAAAAAAAAAAAAAAAACTTGGTACTTATATGTAAAGTCTTATCCCCAACGATGATTAATAAATCTATTAACATATTTATTTTAGATTAAGGAAAACATTGTTTTTAAATTAATTATATTTCAGTCAAATACTACCTATGAAAACGGTATCAAATAGCAAATAGGGCACGAGTTTGGGTCAGTTTATAGCATATATGATTGTGATCGATTTGGCTTGTGCAAATTGAAGCAGCCACATTTTTATTTTTGGTGGGGTAACACAGAAAAATATATAAACGATTTGTAAAAAGAAGTCGAAAGTGTTAGATTATATGAGCTTATAACTCAAAATCAATTGGCAATGAGTGAAGAAACCCACATCTTTTTTATATATTATTCAAGTCCCTTCCATCTTTCCAATGTGAGATATTTCTTCGTAAAAAGCTTTTTTCATTTTGAGTTTTATTTAACAGTTATACTTCACACTAAGTCAATTATTTAAATTCAAAATGTGTATTCAAATATACAACTTAAAGTAATTTCCCTCTAATGAAACCGTAATCGTGAAAAAATCAAAAACTTATACGTACGGTATCGATCATGAATGTATCTAGAGTTTAGTGCAAATTCGGAAAATAAAACTGCTGATGAACTTGTTGGTTCTACACGTCTACGTATACTTATGTGGTTGCTCCACCAAAGCTTAATTCTTAGTTCCAAATTATAATCCTTCAATGGTAACTTTTGGAATCTAGTAGTCACATGACTCACATCTACGCCGTCATCATAAAAAAGAGCCAATATAGGTACGATGTAGTAAAAGTCATTGGTACGTGTAGTAAAGAATGGAAAATATCATTTGATTTTAGGGATTTTTTTGTTTTCATATAGAAACTTTGCTTGATTTTAAAATTTAAGAAAATACTTTGTTTGTGAAGGAAATATACAAGAATGAACTGGTCCTTTAAACTACTACCGCGATTAATTACCGTTAAAAATAAAACTTATTTCTCAAAATAATTATCACATGAAAAAAAACTTTTATCAAATTCTTTTTAAAATTTACTTTTTTTCTCTGTTTTAACAGACAAATTTTGTAATAATATTGACAGATTTATCTGTTTGTATTAATGTTGGCTCTAACTAATAAGATTGTGGAATGACCTAATTTTAGAAACAAATCTATGGAACTGAATAGCGTGACCGTTTTTTTTTTTTTTTTTGAAACAAGAATAGCATGACCGTTAAATGAAAAACCTAACCTTTTTTGGGTCAATGATGAGGAAAGCTTTAACTTATTGCAAATTCTTTGAAATTTATCTCAGTCATTCAACTTATAATATTAAGAAGTGAATGACTCAATATTAAACATATATATACTAGTAACTTATGTTGTTTCATCATCTTTAACTATATATGTGTTATCAATCAAATTCCTTGTTCAGTTCAGGAATTTGAATAGTAATAGCAATCAGTGCAAATAAGTCTTCTCATAAACTAGTTTGATTTAGCAAAAAATATTAACAGAAAAACTGGAAAATAAAAAATAAAACGAAATAATTAGTAGTGATTACTATTCGATTCAAAAAAAAAAAAAAAAAATTTCGTAAATCCAAGACATAAAATCAATTGAATTTCTTATCCAACTTTGTATATAAGGTTAGGGGCGGAAATAAAAGAAGAAGAAACTTGACACAACTCATTTTTAGAAATAAAATAAATAAAGAATTTTATTAAGTGGCAATAACAAATGTGGCCAATCATATCATATCCTCTCCAATCTCTCTTTTAATCTTTCTCTTTTTATACGATCTCTA